CTTCCCATTCCTAGCGTTGCAGATTATGATCTTTGGGCTGACGTTAGCGCTGCCGTGTATTTATCCCAGTCTCTTTGGTGTAGTCATTGAAGGTTATGATGATTCTGGATTTTGAATTTGCCGACAGTTTGCGCTATGGATCACGCAGAATTGTATTTTACAATATGCTAGTGGAATGAATGGAGTACCTGCCGTTTTATACTAACGGGCTTGTGTTGCTCGCATGTAGCAAGAAGTTTATCAACCTGGGATATAACGCCATGTAGTCCGCTGATAGTTAACCAACGTTTTGGAGGAACATGTATCCAACTTCAGGGACGAAGGGTACGCAAAGTAAGAGACCAGCATGAATGAGCATGAAGTAGGCAGCAAGCAGAGCTCTTCATTCTTGTAGCAGTGGTAGGGTGGGGGGGCAATCATGATGAGAGGAAATGCCCTGACAAATATTAAGGAGTACATCCTCCAGTAACAGAGGAAGAGACGATTTGATATCATGGTTAGCCCAGTTATGTAATCATCTACTATTCCAGCCCAGATTTAGGTACTGAACCTTTGCTGAAATGGGCAGGGAGTAGCATGAGAAATCTCAGTTTCCCAGTTGTGGAGACTTTTCTTAACTTTTTGTGAATTTTGCCACATCAATCAACGGTACACAGACCCCAAAGTCAAGTTCAGTTGCAGTTTCTATACAAGCAATCAAGAGAATTTGAGGTGAAAATTACTGTCCCCTGGTTGTAGCTCTTTCGTAAGTTGTACAAAAACAGACACAATTGCTTCTCATACAGTACGTGCCAAAGTGCATTCTTAGCAAGGCCCATGTCATATGCAATCTGACAGTGCTAACTGATGGCTTTTCATGTCCAGCATCTAACGCCACCTCTTCACCCTACAAATTGTTTGTCACAGCAAATATTTGCTGGTGGTATGTCTGTAGTGTAGTGTTGCAAACATATCTGTTGGGTTTCTTCTGACTTGGATATCAACACTGGTGTTCCTTCAATGCTGCTCTAGCATTTCCATCAAAGAAACCACATACAACCTGCATGCCAACATATTCAGCCTAGTAAACTGTTCCATCTCACTTCACTGGTATCACCATTTTGCCATGAGGAATATGTGAATACGTCATGAACATCTTGTGGCATTATGAAGGCTCCATCACACAAGCACACAAGTAAATCAAGATTAGAATTTGAAATATTTTATATCTGAAACAGTGGTGAATTTAACTGTTTTTTTTTTTCGATATTCATATTCTGCACTAAATTATCTCTTCAACATCCTCCTGAAGTTTGAGTCATAGGAATTTGAATCATCCTATATATAATTTCTCACTTAGCAATAAGTAAATTCTGTAACTGGTAAAATGATCTTTAAGACAAGTTATAAACTTCTATAATAATCTCCTGTCAGTCTTTCTTTCTATCATGTACAGTTGCCAAATAGTTGTCAAATTCACAATTCAAATATGAGTGTTTTCCTGGGAAAATCTAACTTTTAAAAGAGTAGTATTCTTCTGTGACTGTTGACAAAATGGGTTTGGCAAAATGGGAAAGTCTTTCATGCGAAATACTAGACATAAGTGTGATCACATCATGGAATGCTTCATGTAAATGAACTGTATACATTATAAGTTGTAAAATAATTTATTTTTACCCCATTTATTTTTGGTGGCAAGAGAAAGAAACTGAATCCAAACTACTGTACCTCCTTTTTATAACTTTAATTAACAATTAATTCTGAAATATAAAATATCTTAGACTGTTTCTAATGACAAATTAGATGCATCCATTATCTTACCAGAAAGTCATCTTTAGCCTCTGTTATACATCACCATCACACATGTAATATAGTTGCTTGGAAGTGATATATGGATATACAGACATTCCACATGGAATGTTGACTGTTCAAGGTATAACAGATGCTGTACTACTTTGTCTTGAACTTTGAAATTTTAATCTCTATAATAAGGAACCAGCAGTACTGGATAATTCAGTAAGATATTACGTGTATTTGCTATATCTGTTCAGTTTTTAATTATATTTCACATTTAATTTGCACCTAAACTTACACATATCCAGTGACATCATTGTTACTTGTGCATGGTTTTACACATTAGAGGAACATCCTCTCTTATGTGCAGTTTCATTGAATTATCCAATATTTATCATTAATAAACTTTCGGAATTATACCAATACTAAAAATGATAATGGCAACAAAACCCCTGTATCGTTACTTCTACATTTATATCTACAACTTCTTAAACAAATATAATCATTAAAACATTGTATTTAATACAACATTTTTTAAATGAAAGTGACAGAAAATGTAAAACACTAAAAATCACTTTCTGATTAAACTAGTTCCACCAATAGGAGTTATGTTGTAAAATTTCTGAAACCAAACACTGTAATTATTTTTCATATATGACATTAACTATAGTTTATTTTTATCCATAACCTCTCCACATTAGGACATCAAGTTTTGAATTGATCAAATTTATTATTTAACACTTCGCTTTCCACAGTTCTCAAGAACACTTTCACATAATCTTGAAAGCCAATTACACATAATCCTTTGCCTCTTGTGCATAATTAAAATTTTTTCAAGAAATATTTCCTTAATATGTAAAACATTTCCTTTATTTCTTCTTCAGTTATGATGGAAACATACAAAGTCTGATCCCCAAGCAATTTAATTTAAATGAACTAGGTCATCACAATTTCTTTAAAAGAAAATATGAGTAAAGACACTGAGAAATCTATATCATATACGAGCACTTTATGAAGTAGTGAAAAAGTTTCTAAAAATAATTCAAAATAAATTAACTGAAACTTGTATATTTTGATTTGAATGAATTATATTATAAAATAATTTACTAAACAGTAGTAACATCAGTTAAAATTTACTTCATTATAAAACATGAAAGATTCTCATGAACATCTCTATAAAAGAAAAATCTGTTACTTGTGTACTGCAGAACTGTAACCAAATTGATACCAAATTATCTAAATGGTTACAAAGAATTTATACATTACTTATAAATAATATTAAGACTTGACTGAGATGTGAAAATCCCATCTTCATATTAATACAGTTAACATAGTCCTCCTTTCACTAACTGGACACTGAAAATGATTTTGGAAATAATGTGACAAGCACTTCTGATTTGTGTTGGCTTTCAGGTTCTCACAGCAGTAACTATGAAGAATACTATCTCTTTAGATGTAGTGCCATGTAGTTTGGTAGGATTTTATTGAAGTTTCAAAGGGACATACTTCCTACATCTCAGGGTTCACTATGTGTTCTTCAAACTTGAAAATCAAGGANCATATACGAGCACTTTATGAAGTAGTGAAAAAGTTTCTAAAAATAATTCAAAATAAATTAACTGAAACTTGTATATTTTGATTTGAATTAATTATATTATAAAATAATTTACTAAACAGTAGTAACATCAGTTAAATTTTACTTCATTATTAAACNAGACTACTTTCCTCAGTGGTGTGTACATTTCTTTCCTTGATGTTATAAAAGTTCTTGTAGAAACATTCAGAGAACAGCAAATTGGTACAAGTCATTGAACCATCTTGGAGGAACAAAAACCAGATGCTTACATGATTTCTAAATTGAATACACCTTCTTGCAATAAGTGAATCGTGTGACAAATTGTCAAGATGTTATAAAGGATATGGAAGTATCCAGAACACTAATTTCATGTTGGAATTTACACAATTTTCAATAGGGCAAACACATAACCAAATACAAGTTTGAATAATTTACTTAAATAGCTAGACACATACATGTACTTCAACTACGTGATTTTCCTACTGCTGTACAACTTAAGCAATTTAATTGAATTTAATTTAACTCCCTATAGGGTAGGATCATCCCTGACTGCGAATGAGTATTAAGAAATTTGTTTTAACCTTTAAGTGCCGAAGTGCCCAGTTTGTGCCAGTGGTGAGTAAAGTCGTCGTGGCCAAAGTACCCTGTTTTGTCCAGTCGGGCATTTAAACTCAGCTAGGGGAAGCGCGCGCACGCCGCTGGTAGAAACGAATGCACAGTCCTAAATATTTATTTTTAAATGTAGTAATTACCAGACCGACTTGAGTAAAGCCCTAATAGAAAAATTAAAACGATACCTAGGTGAACAACAACAAAAAAGAGTATACGTATGAATTATACCCAAACTCATTCACGAGCCTGTACTTTTATTGCAGATTCTGCAGATTTATGTGTTAAAAATATTCAGTAAAATTCGATGTACATAGCTTTTTTGTTGTTATCTGCTTGATGTATATCTAGGCTGAAATAAAACTACAGTATTCGATTTCACTAAGCACGCACAGAAAACAGACCGCACTCTGAATCTGAGCCGCGATGCAGCTGTCTGTCCAGGCCCATAGAAAGGGCAATAAGCTTTTGCAGCTATAACGGAAACTGAAGAAGGGACCCCTCTAGCTTTCTCTTGAATAGCCATTCTTTCATTCTTCTGACCTTCAGTCAAAAGATTCGAAAATCCGAAGAGTGTAAGTAGTGCTAGCAGAAGACCAAATGATTTTATTGCTTCCATCTGTTTTATGACATCAGGGACTGCTAAAATTTGTCAAGTGTTACAAACAGAAATGAATTTGTAATGCAGAACAACTCTGTGAAGAACTGGGAAATCATTTTTGCGATACTCATCAAAATTAAAAGACAAAAAATTGAAATGGAGTATAATTTGTATAAAAAAAAATTCAAATCTTCCGTTATAGTATGCGGCAGAATGTTCTTTGCTGATACAAACAAAATTAATTCCATCTATTTATCATAAAAATTGAATTAGATACACCATTTTTAACACAATGCTTAAAATTGTTTAGGCGCACTAACAGAAACAGACATTTAAACGCAGAGTAACGACGGGCATTTAAACGCGCACCAGCAGCGGGCATTTAAATAAACTCCGGCCAGCTCAAGCTTACCACTATTTCAGAAGTCCGGCGTTTAAAGGTTAATTGTTGCATATGAGAGGCAGAGGGATGTTTTGTTTTCAGTATCATTAAACAGTGAACCACTTAAAAGAGGTTATGTTTTTGGATACATGTTAATTGATAATTCTTATGAACGGAATCATAGCCCCCTCAATATTTGAACACAGCTGTTGAGTCACATTTTTCAATATTTCATTAAAAAGAATTCTGCCTAATGTCATTATTTTCTTTAGTTACAAATATGCATATATTGATAACATTTGTACCGTCATTCCAATTTATGAGCAAGTTATGATTTTGAGAGTACAGTCATGTGGGTCGCAATGGCATGTAGTTAGAAAAAACTCAATGATTTGGAGGGACATACCACCTCCATCTTCAGGGCTAAAGAGCAGAACTTAGGTTGACATCCACAGTTTTCTGATTTCTTGCTTGGCCTTCTCTTTGGTCATGATTGTGGAGGTGATATTTTACTCCAAAACATCGGGCCTTCTCCAGACTACATGACACCAAAGCCCAGATTACCACCCTCCTTTGTCATTACGAGAACCTTAAATCCAGTTTACATTAATAAAAAATGATAGACCTGGTAAATTCTCCACACAATTAACAATATGTTGAAGAACTATAATGTTTTATTTTATGACCTACACAATGTATGTTTTTTGTAAAAAATTCAATAGACCATTTTATAACTCTTTTACTGACTGAATTTCCAATTTGTACTAATCCTCACTATTAAGCACAATAGACCACTGTAGGTCGCGGTGCAAGGGTCAAGAAGGCCCATCCGTTATACATTCATTATACATTCAATCCTCAATATTAAGTAATGTTAAGTTTTTGTCTCAGTTCAATCTCTAGAATTTTTTTGTATGTGTGACAGCAGGTATTTTTTTTATATTAATGAAAGCATACACTGCTTCATTTTTTCAATTTAGAATACCTACTCAGAACAAATTCTAAGACCTCAGAATAAATGTCTGAAAGTTATTACAGGACTTCAGTATATGTAAACTACATCTTATCATGTAAGGAGCTACTTCAAATTTGTCCTCCTCATATGTCATATGTGTCAAAACAGGTGAAGTTACCTGACCAAGAAGACATCCTGCAAACATCAGGTTAAGCCAATGGGCTAATAAAAGTTCTAAGATTAATTTACACACATATAGCCATTGTATGTTTATCCACTCTGTACTACTTAAGTGTATTAGTATAATGGTGGGCATACTATTGGGAGTGGGTAACTGCCCCTCCATGGCCTTTATTTCTGATGGCTGTGAAACCAAAAACCTGAACGAGTTACAATTAATTTACATAATTTCAGAAGTATTATAAAATTTGCTATTTCATGAATTTTGAATAAGCATATCACAGCTATCATGGCTGACACGGAAGTCTATTTTTCTGAGTACAGAAAATATCTGTCTTATGCAAATTGATGATGATTTTATACAATAAATTTCTAAATTTTTAGCTCATAGAATCTCTGTCACACCTGAGTATTATCCTTATATAATAATCTAGTAATTGTCAGAACTATATTGATTTTGAGTCATAAAACATACTTCTGGAATTTGAAATAAATTAAGTCGTGTCTATTCCGTTCGGAGTACTTGTTCTCGCCATCTGGTTGTCAGATGCATTTGCAGTCTGTGATGGAGATTATTTCCTTAATCTGACGATCCTTAGTGGTATAGCGGTGTACTTTATGATGTGATGGGGTGCATAAAGACTGCTTGCCATAGAGTCCTGATAGGCATTTACTGGGGTCTGCATGATCCCTATACAGACACTTTTGTATCTGTGCCCCAGGGCATGACCCCGTACACCGACCAACATCAACTTCCTGTTAATAGTACAGACCAATAAGTGACAAAATAAAGCATCATGTGTAAAAAGTAAGTAAAGTAAAGGTATCCCTGTAACAGGCCGTGAAGGCCCATACGGTTGTGAGATGTTGAGGGTCCCACATTTTCTAGACAGTTGGCTCAAAGATGGCGGTAAGGTTGTGAGCCTTACATGCCGGCCGCGCTTTACTCCCCAGGAAAATTGTTTAATTAATTCCTGGTACTCATTTATGTTAGAGGCTGAGTCGACCCCAGGGCCATAGTGCGGCTGGAAGGATTAGGTCAATTGGAAAAAAATCCACTGACCTCATCAGGACTTGAACCTGCGACCTTCTGGCTTGTAGCATAGTGCCTCAACCAACTACGCTACCGCATGCCCCCAAATCAAATGGAATGTTGTACATCATCAACAGAAACCTTCAGATTAAACGGAACAGAAATGGTTCTTGGGGGATTTAAGGCTTCTGTGGTGATGACAAAGAACCTGATAGGCAGCTGAGTAACTTGCAAAACATATGAGAGATCTCACAGCACAGAGTTAGTTAATTACTGTATCAACCTGGATATAAGGTGAGTCCCCTCCACCCCACAAACACTGCTTCCTAGGTAAGGGGTCACCTTACTTCCGGGTCCTTATGAAGAAAATGAGGAGTTCTAGTTACTGATTCAAATGAGATTTATGAAAATAACTAGAATTATGTGTAATTAGTACATTTTTAATTTATTATCTCTTAATAGTATAGATTTTACTTTTTTTTGCTAGCAACCCTCAGAAATAAATGACAGATTAATTTTTGTAAAAAAAAAATTTTATTCTGATTTTCTCGTTGGAAAATAGGGGCCACCTTCAGGCCTATACAGTGTCTGGTTGGCTGGTTGGTTGGTTGGTTGGTTGGCTACTGTGAGCACTGCATGCAAACGTGGGTAACAAGGAATTTTTCTCTGGGGTGGCCGTTTCACAACAGTGACAAAGAATGCAAAGAGAATAACAGGTTTTGGATGAAATTTCTACGTTTCTTCGCTTATAACCGATATTAATACGAGATATTTCGTCCCATCATAGAAGGGTTAACAAAGAATGTGCAACTGTTAAAATAAAAAATGCAGTTGTCAGGTTTTGGAAATCATTTATGTAATTATTAGGACAATTAATTCATGGAAGTCTGGAATAGGCGGGACGTGTATTAAGCATGGGAGAGATGAAAGATGCACACAATATCGTAGTTGGAAGACGTGGATGGAAGAAAGTATTCGTAAGAACTCGTCATATATGGGAGGCTTCTATTTAATTGGGCATTAAAGAAATGGATTATAAGAGTGTGAACTTTATTCATCTGGCTCAGCATTTGGCTTTTTGAGGATAGTTTTCGTAAAAGAAGAGAATTACCTGGCAAACGAGTGTCGCCGTGCATATTAGGCAACTTCTCCACCAAATTTGTTATGCGGGGAAACATATAATGCAGGCTTTTTTAGTTGAGCAATGAGGCTCATGTCTATAGGTTATCTGAAACGACAGGGCCTTTGCCTTACTTAAAAAGTATCCCTAAATAAAAAATTCAGTTATTATGTGTTATATGATCCAAGTGCACAAGATACTAAACAACGAATTCCAACCGAGTGAAAGTTATTTGTATGACTGTAACGTAAATACGTACGTATTAGTTTCTGGATGTATAGCTCCACTCAGTCTTAACATGAGCACGAAACAAGGAGGTGTCGCGCTTTGCTAAAATATTAACTTAAATGTTTATAATATTTGTAAATGCTCTGGTGGCTTGAATCATAACTCTTTAACAGTCTATGATTAAAAATAACTTATTGATTTTTAATACTTTAAACGATTAATACTCTGATATTTGAAATCCCTCTATTGGTTTTATTATAAGACAATAGAATTATAACACAACAGGAGATACAAAGGACTAAGCTATCCCTGTAACAGGCCGTGGAGGCCCATAGGGTTGTGAGATGTCGAGGCTCCCACATTTTTTAGTCATTTGGCTCACAGATGGCAGTGAGGTTGTCAGTCTTAACATCCCGGCCGCCCTTTCCCCCCCACCCCAGGAAGATTCTTGGTACTCATTTCTGTTAAGAGACCGAGTCGACCTCAGGGATATACTGTGGCTGGAAGGATGAAGTACGTTAAAAAATCTAATTACCTCATCGAGAATCGAACCCGCTACCGTCCGGTTTGTAGCATAGTTCCTCACCCATTACCTTACCGCGTGTACCTACAATATGAGATAAAATATTGGAAGACAGTTCTGAGCCCTGAGCTCCGGGAAACTTACCCTGTACCTCCTATGTTATAACGAATTCGACTTAACGATTTTTCTATTTACGACCCGTTCACAGGAAAGCGTTAAGTCGTAGATCCGAGGCATGACTTTAAATTAACGTTAAGAGGGCATTACGTTAAAACGAATGTATGTTCATCCGCGCAAAGGAAAATGAGGAGGGTAGGTGTAATAATCGTGCCTGTCACGGAAAAATTCATATAATTGCGGTGTTTGCAAAATAATATTTTTCTTGCAGAGGAAGTATAAGATACTGACGCTTTAAAAACCTGAGATAGGTGTACCAGAACGTGGGGAGAAACCAACGAAATTCCGTTCAGAATACATATTCTCTTTGATGAGATTCAAAGAAGCTATTTCCTGTACTAACTTCATATATCTGAGTCCTCCTTGATAATCTACCAGTCGCTCAGCTACTCAGGAATTTTGTAACCTTAATGGAACCCGAAGTTTCATTATCGTGTTCACAAGAAACCGCTACTGGTCCCTATCCAGAGCCAGATTAAGCCAGTCCCCAAAACACCATTATAACTCTAAGATCCATTTTAACATTATGGCCTCACCTACGTCTACATCTTCCAAATTGGCTCTTTCCTTCTGTCTCTCCGACCAAAATCCTCTATGCATTCCTATTCGTTGCCCAAGTCATCCTCCTCCATTTGATTATTCTAATTACGAGTATATTTGGCAAAGAGTATAAGTTATCTTATCTTTAATCCTCGTTGTGTCCAGATATTCTCCTCAGCGCCATGTTCTCAGACACCCTCAAATCTATGTCCTTTCCTTAATATCCGAGGCTACGTTTCATGCCCATAAAAACCACAGGCAAAGTTATAGTTTGCATATTTTAATGTTTACAGATTAAAGAACCAAAAGTCTTGAACTGAATGGTAGCAAGCATTGCCCTTGAATCTGCTCTTAATATCCTCATGAATCACGTTATTATCTGTTACTCTACTTCCCAAATATCTGAACTGTGCCGCATTTTCTAAGTACCTGTTATCTATCTTAATGCTGTGATTTTGCCCAGTTTTCTGATTACGTGGTGAGACATCAACATATACTTAATTTTCTGTGTTTTAGTCTAGAGTCTAGAGGTTAGTCTAGACTCTAGACTAACCTCTTTACTAGCGTCAGAGCTTTTGTACGTATTTTCCTCTATGATACCGTATTTACGCATGTATAGGCCGCAGCACAATTTTCAGACAGAAATTATAGAAAAATAATTTTCTTGGAATATTAGGAGTCGAAA